TCAGCCTAATTACCGTAGCCATTGTTTTTTCTCGATTAATATACCCAATAACATTGAAATATGATCAACTTTAAGCTTAACTATCAATATATCTAAATGGCATTAGAATAGACCAAGTAGTTTTCGAGTTATAAAGAGACAAATATTTTATGGAAACGGTAATTAGATCCATTTACCGTAGCCATGGATTCGACACTACTTGTGTTCTTCTACAAAGGCTTTATTGAGCTATTCCTGTACAAAATAGTGTAGACGTCACAAGTAACACTAATGTTTACGTAAACAAATTATCGGACACAGGTTCATTAGTAATTTACCTAGTTTAATTTTTCCTTATAATGCAAACGTCCTGAGTTTGTTGTATTTTCCGTTAGCAGTTGAACGTTTTTAATTGTATTCTTCATCTCAAATGTTAATTAGTAATGTAATGTGTGTGGTGTTATAGAACGCATTCTTTGTAAGTGGCCTTGAAACAGAGTCGTCGTTTGATAAAAGTGTTAAATCATATTTGTGTTATTAGAGTGGTAAGTAGGCAATTACGATATTTTGTTTCTTTTTTTATGATACCAAATGAGTCTAAAGTGGCTTAAAGTGCAATGAAGCACGCCGTGATTGGCAATTCCCTCGTCGACCGTATACCCAACGTGGAGATACGACAGCGAACAAAAGTCGTAGATGTCGGTATGCGTATCGCAAGCCTAAAATGAGGATGGGCAGGACACGTAACAATATACATAACTTCAATAAGAAAGAAGATATCCATATATTAATTAACCTTAGAGCTAAGTCCAAACTCATGGTACCACGATTTCGTTTAACCAAGGTAAACAACTCTTTTATGGAGAACCGTATACGTTTTTACAATAAGATTCCGGAGCATATATTAAGTTTATCATTTCCTAAGTTTAAAAACTACATTAAAAATATTTTGATCGAAAAATCATATTACAAAATTGAAGACACGTGTTAGACAAAGGCGTATGGAAAGACGACACGGCTCCAGAATCCACACAAACTTGATTCGAAGTTCATTTAAGTTTATTTGAAAAGAGCAATCCCTAGAGTTTCTTGCACGTTCTTCTCAGGGAGGTCAGCGTAGTGAACGAGCAGTAGCTTAAATATGACGTTTTCAAGTGTACATTTATTTTACCTATGGAATAAAGGCTAGGTGGAACGACGACCAAGGCGTGTGCAAAAGAGGAGGCCTATACCTAGCAGTGGGTGTGAACGGGCTGAGATGGTGATGACTAAATGATAGCACGAACAAGTCGACTGTGGCAGTGCTGCTCATACTTTAAGTCGCAAAGATCTGAGAGGCACTGCCACAAAAGCACTGCCAGTGCACCCGTCACCGTGAGACATAAGTTGAAAAGTTCCAGGTGTCCGTAATTTCACCAGCATTTTTAAGCAGATGGAAATAATTAGGTACAACAACATGGGTTGTATAATAAATGAACAATCGGAATTTGTATCATCACCTTTATTACGGGTGTTTTCGGGTTACAACAATAGCAACACTGGGGGTAGCGGGATATAAATACACCAACCGTTCTGAACGAGCTCACTCAGGGGTTATGAGCCTTCAGCGGCCAACAGCAAAATATCCTTTATAAAAAAAAACGAGCTCACTCTTCGGCCTAATGTCGAGATGCCTCGTGGAGAGGCGGGACACGTGTTGGGTATATTTTTGGTAGTGGTTTGTGACACAAGCGCACCTATTTTGCACGATTTAACCGTCACTGGGTTCGCGGAGTAGCAAATTAATTTAATTGCATTTTTATTAAAATGTTCACTGCTTGGTGGTAGAAATGGGAAAGGTGGGAGTACTTCCGTGGTAGCCTAACGGTTTGACGGTAGATCAAGCAAAGGTCGTAGGTTTGAATCCGGACTCGCACCTCTTAATTTCTCGGAACTTCAGTTTGAAATTTACCATGAACTTTTCGGTGATGGAAAACATTGTGATGAAAACTGCACGTCAAAGAAGGTTTACAACCCTCGGAAAACCTGTGAAGTCCCTAAAGGCCCATTTAGATGGAGAGAGTTTATCGTCTCGAATATACGATTATCGAAAGAATATAAAAAACTTTCCTCGTCTAAACATTTGCGATTATCGACCGTCCACGTGAGCGATAATCGCCTCGCCTTTCAATATTGAACGTCTCCATGTAGGTAAACAGAACTCGAAAGCAAAAATCGTATTTCGAGTTTCTGTGCCAGCCGTTTCTACCACGACTGCAGTGCGCGAGGGTGTTTTGATTATCACTGCTTTTCTAAGACAAGAATTAATGAAACGAGAACGAAAAAAAAATTTGGATTAAGAAATGTTATAAAATTTGGAAAAAAAATAAAATAAATAAATGTATATTTCTCTACAATGCAATGAACTTAATATTGTCAGCAGTTCCAAATTTGAATGATTTTTGCGTCATTTCGATATGTCCATAGTCAATACCGCATTAATCACTGAACTCGAATAGCGATTCTCGCACTCAAAACGATTCGAACCGATTTGTACGATAATGGTATGAACTTGAAAAAATGTCATACGAGATCGTGTTTAGACAAGTCGAAAACTCGTAAGCAAGAATCTCCTTACTACATATTTCTCTGTGTAAACAGTCGAGGAGGCGATTAAGTTGCTTGCGAATCTCGTATGACATAATCGTAGGCGAGATTTTAGTTCTTGCCTGAATGTAAACATTATGATACGATACTCTTATGGCGATTATTGCTTACGATAATCGCGTACGAGTTTTCGTCACGAAGCGTGCGAGAAACTCTCTCCATCTAAATGGGCCTTAACTCGCATAGGGTCAGCGTGGCGGACTACAATCTAAACTCTCGTTTGAGATGAGAGCCGTGGCCAGCACTCGGACGTAGAAATGATTGCGTTATTATATTAAACAAAACCTTACCATCTCAGTTACACACATGACAAAAAATCTTGGTAATGACTGCTGCCACCTTTGGTATGAATCTGCTGTAGCACTGTAGTGGTATGTATACCAACTGGCCACCTTGGATTCAATTGACAACCGTGTCAAGAGGCTTATAGGTGACTCGGAATTAGTAGAGGCGAAGCTGCAGAGCCTTGAACACCGCCGTAAAGTCGCTTGCTTATCGGTATTTTACAGGATATATCACGGAGAGTGTGCGATGGAATTACGCGATTTAATACTGCCTTCCCCTTTCCATCATCGGGGGACTAGGCGCAGGCTTGGATTCCGGCCCTATATTGTAGATATTCCAAAGATTCGCACGAAGCGTTACGCTTCCACATTTATATGGCGAACGGCTATGGAGTGGAATTCCCTGCCTGCAGACTTGTTTCCTGAACGTTATAACTGTGGACCTTTTCAAGGCGAGAGTGAATAGGCATTCTTTAGGTTAGCATGCTCCATCATGGACCTCATCGTTACTTTCCATGAAATGGCCGGATTCGAACCGACGTTCTCTAGCATACCGTCCCAGACGCTATACCAACTAAGCTACGGAACGAACCAGCGGACCTCACGAATTTTTCTATATGCTTGCGTCTTATCTTTGTATTTGGTTTTTCAACAACTTTTTAGCCGTAGCGCCATCTATGAGAAATCCATGATATTTCGTCACCAATTAGATACTTATTAATACAAAGATCGAACACTCAGAAAAAATTCCTTCGATCCGGTCGGATTCGAACCGACGTCCTCTTGCATACCGTGCCAGACGCTATACCAACTAAGCCACGGAACGAACCAACGGACGTCACGAATTTCTCTATGTGCTTGCGTCGTGTCTTTGTACTTGGTCTTTCAACGACTTTTTAGTCGTAGCGCCATCTATGAGAAATCTATTACAGATTTATCACCCAGTTAGTACCTTTACAGCTACCAGTCCTGGCGAGAGATGTCGCTATTCACTGTATTAATTAATTTTTTATTGAATTGATATTCAATTATTTTTATGTCAAATTACACCACCAGTTTGTTATTATTATTAATGCAAAGATCGAACACTAAGAAAAAATTCCTTCGATCCGTTTCGATCCCTTGCAGTTTGATATTTGATATTTGAGATATTTGAAATAAATATTGTAAAAGGATAAATATGTTTTTCATTTCTAGAGTTTAGAGTTTAATCAACGATACGATTTCTTAACCTAAAATAAAACTAAAATATATTAGAGATTCAAGTGGAGTTATTTCTTTCTAGCTGCAGTTGGGAAAAAACCGCGAATTAAAACAACAGTGGAAGATGAATAAATGTCTGCATCTGGGATTACTACTCGCTACTGACGTGCTGTTTGTGGTTGGTATGTATTTATCCTTATTTGTTTAGATCATACGGATGACCGCAAATTAAAAGTCTGAATATTTACTACCAACAACATGAAGATTGATGACATAACGACTTTTTAACGAAAGATTTGACGACCTTGGTGGCTCAACATTTTATACTGTGGGCGTTGGATGAGGAGGTCCAGGGGTTTGATTCCGAAACGAACTTTTCTGGAGAGTCCCCCAGATTGAATTCACCATAGGTCACCATAGCATATTTTATTCTCATTGAAATTACAATCTGAGTACCTAAGTGCCAACTTTTATTGAAATTCCCTACTTTTATTAGGCATTATTTAGGTGAGCATGCACCATCGTTACCTCATTGTCACTTTCCATCGAGCACTTATTTTTTAACCGACCTTAAAAAAAGAAGAGCTACTCAACTGCCTCCGTGGCCGAACGGTTACCATACCGGACTGCCACGTAGAGGTCCCAGGTTCGATTCCCGGGCCGGGAGAAATATTTGTATGGCCTACAATTGTTTCTCTCGTGAGTTTGGGTGTAATTTGTGGTTGTCTAAGTGTGTGTCCATGGCACCCGCGACACAGGGTTTCCCTAGTGCGGGGCTATGTTGAGTGTGTGCGTTATTAAAAAAAAAAAAAAAAAAAATTCGTCTGTGTTTTTTTTTGTTTTATAGGGAGTACCTTAGTGGTCTCATTGATCCCGCAATTTTAGGTTGGTGTTTTTATGTTTTTAGTACTCTGTACTGAGATTGTTATTACAATGGAAGAGCGTGGAATACACGATTGCGCGTGCGACTGAAGAGTGCTATCGCACAGTATTTCCCTTTTCCTTCCAACATCTTTACACGCGCGCTCAATCGCGTACGATTGCTGTATCACGCACGAAGGAGTGTCTGTGTAAAGCCCTTTATTGTTATAACGGTATATACAGGGTGGAAATTTGTAATGCCACCTGGAGGGAAAGTACTCTAAATACTGTAGATAGAAATTTTTACTTAAAGGAAACATTCCTTTATTTTTTAAAAGAAATAAAACTGCATTCATAGATTTTCGAAAATTTCTAGCAACACGCGGGAATCGAACCTGCTTTAATCTGAAAAAAAAATGCACCCTGCACTTTTATTGCATCGATCGATAAGGTTAATTATAAGAATAAAATCTCTCTCACAAAATTGGTTAATTAAATGAAAAAAAAACCATGAAATCTTAACCTATTTTAATAAGACGAAAAAAATGGTAATCTAACTAATTAGTTGCTCGAAATGAGCTCCATTTTCTTGGATACACAAAAAGATAACAAATTTAAACCTTTAGCGAATTCATTTTAAGTAACTTTTAATAACGTGTTGTGATGAATTGTATTAGAAATCATATTCTGAACCTCAGCCTTCAACTCGTTTACACTCGCATAGGATTTAAGGTATACATTTGATATTTAATATGTATATAACGTTAACCCGTTAAGTGGCAGTTAAAGCTCGGTTTTGTCATTTAAAATAACAAACTCTACTTTCACAATAAAATATATTAATTTATTGACATTTTTTGTGACATAACTCCACTAGTTTTTAAATTTTTATTGAATTGATATTCAATTATTTTGTTATAATTAACTAGTTTGTTATAATTATTAATACAAGGATCGAACACCCAGAAAAAATCCTTCGATCCGGTCGGATTCGAACCAACGTCTTCTAGAATACCGTGCTAGACGCTATACCAACTAAGCCACGGAACGAACCAGCGAACCTCACGAATTTTTCTATGTTTGCTCTCGTGTCTTTGTATTTAGTTTTTCTACGACTTCTTAGCCGTAGCGCCATCTATGAGAAATCTTAAGTATTTCGTCACCCGGTTAGATACCTTTACAGCTACCAGCCCCGGCTAGATATGTCGCTATATAATTATTTTTTTACGTGAAATTACTCCACTAGTTTCGTTATGATTATAAACACAAATATCGAACACACAGAAAAATTTTCGACTACCCGGTTGGACTTGAGCCCACGTCCATGCAGCACCTATCATAACAAAATACATTCATAATAGCGTTTTCAAATTGTTAATTAAACAATTTAAATTTTTAAATTTTGCAGGACTCCCATCGGTGAGAATTTGGCCCAACAATACAAAAACCATCGAATTGGGAAGTGTTCAGAAATACTACTGCAAAGTCGAAGGCGTACATAACTTTTTTTTAACCACCAGTCCAAGATTTTTTCAAGCTAAAGGTAAGTTTTGTTTCCATTCAAAGTTAGGTTAGGAAAGTTAGGTGAGGAATATATCTTGAAGTCATTGACTATAAATCTGTGGTTTTGTATGTGGTATCGTAGCTCCCTGGCTGATAGACTGATCTCAAATAAGTAAAATAAAAAATTAATCTTAGCTATGTTTCATGAACATTTGTTCTATAGCAGTAGAACTTCTTGTGAAAGTGTTCTTCGAGGGAAGTACTACCAGCATACCTATTTCTGCCACCAATTCCGTCCATCAATTCCGGTTTTGAAGGGGAATTTCTCTACATATGTCTCAAAGTGACGGGCACAGCGGCAGTTGTAGTATAGGTAGACTATATTTGCAGTCTAACAGCAACATGTAGTTGTAGTAACAACACGTATTGATTGGTTAGCAATTAAGTATACGTTTTATTTTATATTGTATTATTGTCAGTCTTCTAGATCTTCTATATTATGGTTTTCTTTTTTATTTCTTGATGTTCATCATCATCATCATTCAGCCATACGACGCCCACTGCTGGGCATAGGCCTTCCCCAACGATCTCCACGACGATCGGTCCTGCGCTGTACGCATCCATCGGCTTTCTGCAACCTTTACCAGATCGTCGATCCACCTCATCCGGTGCGCGGTCGCCATTGACGAACCTTTCCGCGCCAACGGCCATCGGTTCTCTTAGCTATGTGCCCCGCCCACTGCCACTTCAGCTGAGCAATTCTTCGAGCTATGTCGGTAACCTTAGTTCTTCTATGGATTTCCTCATTTCTGATTCTATCACGTAGGGAAATACCGAGCATAGCTCTCTCCATTGCCGGCTGAGTGACCTTGAGCTTCTTATGGGGCTCTTAGTGAGGGACCACGTTTCTGGTCAAAGACTTTCGTCTTGAGACACTGAGGTAACTTGGATGCAAAGATTTTTTTGTAGTTTCCCGAATGCTGCCGATCCGAGCTGGATTCGACGAAGAGATCTCTTTCTCAGTTGGACTTACCTAACCTGACTGTCTGTCCCAGGTATCTGTCATGGTCAACAACTTCGAGTGTAATGCTCCCAATTTTAACTGGAGCGGGTACAACATGGGCATTCGACATGATCTTCGTCTTGTCCATGTTCATCTTAAGACCCACTCTTCGGGAAACACTACTGAGATCTTCGAGCATTGTGTTCAGGTCTCCCAAGGTCTCAGCCATAAGAACTATATCATCGGCAAATCGAAGGTGTGTTAGATACTCGCCGTTGATGTTGATGCCAAGTCCTTTCCAGTCCAGCAGCTTGAATTCAATTATGTTAAATTTTACAAATTTCTGTCTTAAAATCTTCAAAATTTACTGTTTTTCACAAAAGATAACTATCTTGTCAGGGACGCCATATCATATTTTTAAAGGATGGACGTACGTGATAGAGTGAAATATGTTGATTTAATGAGACACCTTTATTGTTCGGTTTCCGGAATACACGTGACAAAATAATACAATTGAAAATAAAATGTATTTATTTTAAATTGTATTATTTTATATTGTATATATTTAAAACAATGTCTCGAGATCTTTGCGATTTAAACCTCTGGCACTGTAAATGACATAGATAGACGTGTCGCTTACCACTAGGCTCACGACTTGTTCGTGCAGCCGCTTGATGTCATAAAAAAAGCTGCTTAAATATCATCAGCTCTTTTTCTCGTTAGCGTAGAGATCTCAGCACTGAAATGGATATTTATTTTGGTTCTACTTACCATATCGGCTTGAAATCTGATGACATTACCCCACGATTTAATAACACATAAGAATATTTTACCCCTTAAAATTTGGACTGAAAAGAGTTTTTAACTGACTTAAAAAAAACCATAAGGTTATATGTATGTTCGGCTGTATGTATGTTGTCTGATTTCTCCATTGACTTACAATTATATGGACGTCGGGTCCGCGCTAAAAAGTGTCCGCACTTGTAAGGCGCTAAAATCGTATACAGAGCGTCAAACTCCGCTTTAGTCTTCATTTGTTCGACTGACAGCGCGATACTGCGATGACATTACAATTTAAATTTCGAATAGGTTGACTTGGGACATTTTTTTCGTGGTTTTTGTATTAGACCCGTCGTCCATTTATTTGTAAGTCAATGGATTTCTCCGTCAATTGTGGACCGATTTTAAAAATTCTTTTTTTTAAATGTTTATTGAATTGATATTCAATTATTTTTTGTTAATTAAATCACTCCATTAGTTTGTTATAATTATTAATACAAAGATCGAAAAATAGAAGTGAAGAGTTAATAATTATAATTCTTTTTTTGTTTGAAAGAGTAAACTATCAAGATTTCGGCTATCATAAATTAATAATCTCAGTACAGAGTACTAAAAAAACCGACCTCAAAAATACGTGGAATTACGTCTATTTGCTAAGTTTTATTGAAATATCCCCTAGTTCGCCACTATACAGGACTTGACGGTGGAGATAATAAAAATAGGTTCTCACTACGACACTAGTTAAAGTATATTGAGAGAAAAACGCCTTGAATGGAAGAAATAGCAAAATCAACCGTTAAAGTAATTGCTCCTAAATTAAAGTTAGGCGCTATTTATAAAAGTGAATCTTCATGCGTGAACAGCCACCCTTAGAGGTGGATAATTTTCTTCAAAATGAAATGGGACCACTATGGAAGTACCCCCTTTCCAACAAAAAAAGAATCATGAAAATCGGTTCACAAATACCGGAGTTATCGCGTAACATACATACAAAAAAAAGAACATACAGTCGAACTGAGAACCTCCTCCTTTTTTGAAGTCGGTTAAAAAACTAACATAAATGTGCGGAAAATAATTTCGAGTCGAATTGTCACTTGACACAATACATGTAATTAACAAATCACCCTCAACATGCCAACCAGAAAAAAAGTATATAATGTACAAAGGAGTCAATAACTGTCCCATTGTCTCCAAGAAGTCAGAATCTAATGAGGGGATCCCATGGAAACTGAAAAAAGCCGATAAGCAAACTTTTGAGATCGGCTTTTCTTTTTCTTAAGTTACAATTATTGTAATTTCTGTTTCAGGTGCAAGACGTTATATACAAAATTCAACAGAAATAGAGAAAGATACCGCGCTCTTAACAAAAACGTTTGAATTGTTCGATGAAGACACAGAGTTATTCTGCGTATGGAAGCCAGTTAAGACAAAAAGCCATGTATTTCCTTCTGCCTTACTATCGGAACGCGTTGCTATACGCTTTAGTGAACCTGGTAAGTGTGCTTTGGACTGCCCTTAGTTTAGTGCTATATCAGAACTAGAGATGTTCGCCGATCGTAAAATTATCGCATTATAATAGGAGTTATCAAACGAGACTAGCAGCACGGCTTGTACTTAGGCCATACTGAAAGTTTCTGGATTCTGATAAGTAAGATCAGATATTATGTTTATAATTCCACTATTCACACACTTTTCTATTCGTTGGAACCATTGTGAAAAGCAGTGGGACTGCGGGCTTCCGGTCTTGTAAATCGTAAACCTCTAAGTTTATCTTTGATTTTTGGACACAAAACGAAGTCGCTCGGTATAAGATCTGGACTTTACACAATGAAAAAACCAATGACAGTCTCATAAAGTAAAAAGTAACCTACTCACAGAGTGTTCCTTTCTTAAATTTCATATTTATTTCTTTTAGAAGTGACCAGTTCTTGGATCTTTCAGTATGCCCCACGTATGTTTGCACGTCGGTCACGCGTCTTCTAAGGACGCAAACATTCTCATAATCTCGCAGTGCGGACACGTTGCAAAGTGCAGGTTGTCCATCAAGTGTATAACCAGAATAAGAGACGAAATAAGGTCCATACATTCCTGGTAACTCATCAATGATACATAACTTATAAATATAAACTCTCGTTTGCACTGAAATATAGACAGCGCCAACAACTAAACTGTGTGTACGTCTAACAATGATGTATTGTACTATTTGGTGGTGTGGGAAAAACAGCAAAACATCTAATTACAAAACAAACGGAATCACATTTCACACACACAAAGTGATCGTTTTGAAGTGAAACAATTTGACGACACCCGTCAATTGTTTCGAATTGGAGCTGGCCAATCGGAGCGCAGTTGTCATCGTAATGATATGGCAGAAGAGTTTTCAAACAAATTAACGACATTTAGTCTCTATTTCTGGTTATATACTCGAAGAGGTTGTCGCACGCGTCATAGATTAAAGAATTAAAGCGTTCGCTCGGTGTTTAAAAGTAACATCAATAGTAGACATGTTTATTGTTGTATTTATAGTGGTTGAACACGAGTGATTAAAATTCTTAATTATTCACCATTTTAACTAAACTAACAGATAACTCGCGTATTTAAGTCGAATTTTTGATGTCGTGTCGATCGTCGTGTTTCAAACCAGTCCGTAGTCCTTTTTTTATAAAATACAGGTGCGCATTTGGCCTCCATCTCACCTGATGGAAAGTGACGATGAGGTCGACGATGAAGCATACCTAAATAATGCCTATTCACTCTCGCCTTGAAAAGGTCTAAGTTATAACGTTCAGGGAACAAGTCTGCAGGCAGGGAATTCCACTCCATAGCCGTTCGCCATATAAATGTGGAAGCGTAACGCTTCGTGCGAATCTTTGGAATATCCACAACATAGGGGTGGAACCCAAGCCTACGCCTAGTCCCCCGGTGATGGAAAGGGGAAGGCGGAATTAAATCATGTAATTCCATCGCACACTCTCCGTGATATATCCTGTAAAATACCGATAAGCAGGCAACTTTACGGCGGTGTTCAAGGCTCTGCAGCTTCGCCTCCACTAATTCCGAGTCACCTATAAGCCTCTTGGCACGGTTGTCAATTGAATCCAAAGTGGCCAGTTGATATGCAGCAGACCCATCTCAAAGGTGGCAGCAGTACTCCATGCACGATCAGACTTGTGCTTGGTACAGCTTAAGCAACTGTCCCAGTGTAAAGTAACGCCTCACCCTGGAAAGAATCCCAAGCTTCCTTGCTGCATTTTTGGCCATGGATTCAATGTATCTGCCGAAGTTCAAATTGGAGGACAGGTCCATTCCAAGTAGCTGGAGACAATCGGCTATCGGTATGGATATAACACGAAAAGTCGTAGTCAGCTCAAAGGGACTCCGTTTTGTGGAGAATAGACACGCCTGCGTTTTGGTAGCGTTAAATTTGACAAGATTGACATTGCCCCGATCGGAGACTGCCTGGAGTGTCAAATCTAAACGGCTAACCATGGACTCTCGACAAGACTGGATTTCCTCTCCACTGACCCTTGCATTGGTCAATTACCAATGCAGATTCGATGGCGGTAACTCGACGAAAACTGCCAAAGCCCTGGCAGTCGGACATTTTTATTAAAATCATACGCAGGATTGCACACTACGAGTCTCCCTGGGCTCAGAGTCTCCCTGGGCTCAGAGTCTCCCTGGGCTCAGGGGTATCCATAAAGATTTCCCCCCCGTCAAAAAAAAAAAAAAAAAAAAAGGATTGCACACTACACTAACAACGTCCCTTTCTAAAGTCTCATCCATTCTAATCACTGACGTAGTACCTAACGATACTCGGAAACCGAAAGTTTTGTTATGCCCTAATCTCAAAGTCATGGGTACCAGATATTTACTTGAAAATATTTACTATCCAGCGATCTCCGATGGCAAGTCTAGAAGGATTATCACACACACACGCACGCACGCACGCTTGCACGCACGCACGCACGCACGCACGCACGTACGCACGTACGCACGCACGCAGGCACGCACGTCCTTCCCTTGCCAGTACGGTCACTTTATCAAAACGAATCCAATGAGTGAGTGAGTGAGAGTCCTGGTTCCTCATACTACGTATGTGTTTCATTCGGTCCGTGACATGTTACGGTCGGTCTCTCCTATGTAATCCTTGCTAGAGGAGCAGGGATTCTTTAAACCCCGCGAACTTTTAATGGCTCCTAGTCCACCTTCGAAAATCGTCTTGTTGTTATTTCTTCGGCGTAACAAGTGTCCAAATTTATCCGTTACTCCTTTAATGTAAGGTAAGTATATCGGCAGTCTCGACTTCGACTTAAAACAAAGATCTATCATTTACAAAAAATTCCTTCGGCGCGGTCAGATTCATTCCGACGTCTTCTAGCAAACCGTACCTGGTGCTATGCCAACTAAACCACGGAACGAACCAGCGGACCTCACGAATTTCGATTGTCGGATCTTTGTCGGCAATCTTTGTATTAATAATTATAAGAAACTAGTATAGTGGAGTAATTTAAAAAAAATGAATATCATGGTGGTGAAATATCTCGACATTCAATAAAAACTTAATTACATACGCGAGTTATCTGTTAGTTAATAATAATAAGCCTGAGTCTCACGGTGATTTCATATTTAATATTCAGCATCTCATTAATTTTATTTTCATATACCAGTAATGGAAGAATCATGCACGTGCGATACGTGGTGGCCGTGGCTTATCGCTGTTGCGTTGGTTGGTGTCGTCATTGTCATCATAGTGGTGGGCATTGTCATCGCTTTTTGCCGAAGAACGAAAGCACAAAGGGAGCAGCAACCTTTACCAAATATACAGGTACAAAAAAGTGCCAGACATTCATATAATTTACTGATGAATGTTTGAAACATGTTTACTCATCAAACGTAGCTAAAAAACTTCCCGATTACACTCCGTCTAACTGCCTCTGCCTATGCCTCTGAAGTTCTTTAATTATTGACATGTATGTCAATAATCAAAAAAATGCAATACTTCCTGAACTCTTTTTTAACCGACTTCAAAAAAAGGTCCTCCTTTTCTCTGAAGGTTCTCAATTCGACTGTATGTTTTTTTTATGTACGTTACGCGATAGATTTTTGAACCGATTTTGATGATTCTTTTTACCCCTCTCTAAGGGTGGCAAACTAGGGGATGAATGGCTTTTGAGGTGGATTTATTCTTTTTTTAGTACTCTGTACTGAGATTATTTCATTTTAGTGACGCGACGTGCTTTTTAACTCCGATATTTATCACATCAACAGATTATATAACGAAGATTATTCATGTTGATAAATTTTGATACCTGTCTAATAAATTATAATGAAATTAAGTAAATTGTAAATAATTATATAAATTCTTATTGTTTATTAGAATGAATCGTCGAATACTTTTGCATATGAACGAAAAAAAATCACTAGAATCCTCATTAACATGGATTATTAATTCTTGAGTGCAATCAGACAATAGTCAAATTTCAAACTTACACTCGAAAAAGCCCCTGTAATGCTTGTAACGTTCGACGCAGTCATGGCGTTCGAAAACGAGTCCTTCTTCGTTTAAAACAGAAAATTACACTCGGGAATTCTATTGTGGATACGTGTCACTAGAGACGCTGTTAATGTTCCATAAGAATAAGAAGAGCAATTATTTGTAATTCTGACAAGTTCTCCTTTTTTATTAAAAAGCGAACAGTCTGCCTGTTAGCCATGATACCCTATGAAGATAATAGCTCCATTTACTAAGTCACTCCATGGTGCATGATCAGAGGGTCGATTTAGAGCCTTACGATAACTCCATTGTCGATCGATTTCTTTTTATTTTTATTCACAACACCCGAATCGAACGTCAAACTATCATATTCGAAACCGAACGAAATGACGTTACTGGAAATTCTCGACCGGCAAAGGCTACAAACATTGACTTACAAATAAGTGGACGACGGGTCTAATACAAAAACCACGAAAAAAATGTCCCAAGTCAACCTATTTAAACGTAGTGACATGTAAAGGAATATGAAAAAGCTAAAACTACTGTCTAATTTTGCTTGCTTCGCTGTCAGTCGAACAAACGAAGACAAAAGCGTGAATAACGCTCTGTATACGATTTTAACGCCCTATAAGTTCGGACACTTTTTAGCGCGGACCCGACGTCCATATAATTGTAAGTCAATGGCTACAAATGTTATTCAGAACACAGATATCGAATGCAAGTTACCGAACGTTTACAAAGCAAGAATGTAATATGGAAATCTTTTATTATTTTAAATGAAATCTGGACTTTGTTCAATTTTATTAATTTACTTTAGGCCTTTAAAGTCTTATAAATTTATATAAAAGGATTTTTATTTTTCATATAATCTATTTTACCGACTCACTCTACAAACCCTCCTGGATAACGATATCGTATCCACATCCGAATCGAAGGCTTAACTCGGAATGTTCTGAACGATTCGGCTAAAATATCGAAGAGTTCTGCAGCTTCATTTTGATTGCCTCTCCCGATCGGAAACTTCGTCTTTTCCGAGTCGAGGAGCATTATTGCGATTCACAACTGGCCGATCAGAAAGTTTAGACATTTCAAATCGGAACAATAATTGATTTAACTCACAAATTAGAAAGATATAGTAGGAATCAGGTTCATCTGATTTCGAGACTACCCGATCGATTCCGATTAGTATCAAAATCAGCTTGCTGAACCGGGGTCTAGGACGAAAGATCGCGTGAAACTGGCGCGTGTTGGGGTGCGCGATTGATGAGTGATAACGCGCGGTCTTTCCCTTTTCCTTCCAACGTCTTTACACGCACGCTCAATGTCGTTCGATTGCTGTATTACGCGCAATAGAGTGTCTGCGTAAAGCCCGCTAATCCGCCGTCAGTGACAAAATATTTTTCTGACATGATGAACACGTTCACTCCTTTCCTGTCCACTGTTATTAAAAGAGAGTTTTGTGCTCTATCTTTTTCTATTTGAAACAGATGTTTAACCATTTGTCACTAGCCGCGTTTTACTTAGTGGACGGCAGTAATATCCGCTCACGCGATGCGCTCCTCCTACCGCAAAATGGCGGCTATTTGGTTTCGCAAAATAGAAAAGGATTCAGTTTAAATACAAGTT